AAATACTTACGTTTTTTCTGAGAAATTCAAACGTCAACGTCACACTCGAACTCGAACATACGAAGGAATTGCATTATTTTTCCACTAGTGAGAACTACCGCGCGAGAAAACGTCGACATTAAAGCTAATGACATTATGATATAACAGGTGTTATCAAGTCGGAAATATTGCCTCCGAGTGCCGATTCTCGCATGAGGATTGCAAGATCATCTCACATCGATTAGCTCGCCTCATACGCCTAAGCTTGTAGATTGCATGCAATTTACCTTCAGATGATTATAGACTTCCACTTCAAGATCTGGACAGCATCGTATTCCCATTGCGGTTGCATTGTGCTCACGTTTGACCTATTTACAGCCACCATAGACTCACTGCATCAATAAATAATTGCGAATAATCCGTTAATTAATGTCCACCGTAAAGATCCACAATGATTTTTGAAACAATATGCATTTAATGTGATAGCTAGATAACTAGCGATATTCCTTTCGCCAAATTTATGCAGTTATATGATTATTGCTATCATTACTCATTTACTTCATGCAGTTATAAGTTACCGCGTGGGCAAAGCTTGGTCCAAGATCGGCCAAACTTTGGTTAATGAACCTCTATTTGATCTGAGCAGGGTTCAATTGATTACCAACTCTCCCTCATACCTCCAATTTCAAATCAAGTTAGCGACTTGGTTCAAGCCGGGGCTATATTTTGATTCCGCTGAAGTTTCATTTTACACATATATTATTTCTATAAAAAAGTACTAATGGATCAAATACCAAGTCGCATTCCACATACCCTGATTGAGGTCATCTTGAATTTCCTCAAACATTGACTTTATTCGTTGGTTGCGGCTTCAGGTTGTCTTAGAAGATTCTTCTCGTTCTTGAGTAAATGCCGTCACCAGGAGAAAGCATCCAGCAATGGTATCCGAACCTTCAACTGAGACTTCGGGTTCCAGGTGAGCTCTTCCAATTGTCATCATCCTTCCTCCAGTGTCTCCTGCCATTCACTCAGGTGATTCTGTCCTCTGGGCTGTTTCCGGACTCTGCTTCTCCAGGAACGATGTTGTGGCATTCCCACTGGAGGATATCTCTGGAAGGTTCCAACTCTCCTTCATGGGCTAGCATATCTATTTACTATCCTCAACCTAGGAGGAATGAAGACGACAGTCCTCATCGAAACTCAGGATTCTTATCAAGCTGTTAACTCTCAATCCTAACTTCTGGAGCGAGAAGATTGTATCAGAAATGAAGATCGTATCCATTCAGAGCAAATGACAACGACAAATATATTTCGCACCAATAATGCGCGATATTAAAATATAATCGCAACCAAATATCATTCATTCCACAAAATTTCAATTAATCCGTAAATTCTGATGAATGTCCCTTCAACTTCTCGCGGTAGCTCGATGCAAGCGCCGCTACTCGGTCTTTTAGTGGAACAAGAATTCCAGTGCGGGACCGTTTAAAACACTGGCCCCGATATCTCGTACTCGCCATAGCTTCCGCGACTCGGACATCGTCTCCAGAGAGGAATCCCCCGATGATCATCGTCTATCCCACGATGAATTCCAATAAACGGACTAAAACGACTCGATACAAAAGAGAATAATAAAAACAACTGAGAAAAGTCCAAAAGTATTAATTAATTACTCTCGCAAATACGATTCCTTCCCGCCTGAAATTCCGCAACATGATTGAAGCATATTTTTTTCTGTGGAATTTACAGCTAATATAATGATTTAATTACTCCCCCAAAGTGTCAGACGACTACATGATGTTAAGATAAAATTGCATGAGGACGATAACAACCCCTTATGTACCTGGCACATTTGTTAGTACGCACATTGACTACTTAATTATACTTAAATCCGATTGCTTTCGATGGATCTTTAATGAGAACACCCATATGCAGTTGACTACTTATGATTTTTGCAATCCAATAGTGCAGGTAAGTATTATCTATCATGCACGTTTTATACTTTCAGAAATATTAGATCTTGAAGAGCACCGTCCCTTCAGACTAGAATCGCTGCCTGGCAGAAATGCCGTACGTGAGGGATGAAAATAAAAAACATGTAGTGTCGAGGTTCCGCTAATCCTCCAAATTCGACATATTCAAGTGATCTCAGTCAAATAAAAAATTAAATCCATCTCGTTGAAAAAAAAAGTTGTAGATCACGTTAATTTCATGACTCTAATACAGACGTTACGAATGGCTCACATCTCTCAGCCAGACAGAGAGACGTTAAAATTTATGGGTGTTCCATGCGTTCACCGTTTCGCCCAGAAACCAACAACAAATTTAAAATTCTAATTTTATTTGATTATATTTGAATTCAATTTAATTCTGCTACTTGTACCAAGTGCGGCAGGCCGCAATGCAGAAGGGAAGGTTAGAGAATGAGGGTGGAAAATTTAAGCGTGGATGATGCTAACTTACTGTCACCCTCAGTTTTATCTTCTCCGGCGGAGTGGAATCAGTAACCGAGCCAACTAAAATGCATTTTACTCTAGTACTCGTTTATTTTTCCCGGAGTATACACATACAAAATGTTGAGCGAAACTTTCCAACCACTTTTGCTTCCTCAACCTGACCCTATAGTAAGGAGGAGGAATACCGCATACGAAGCATAATATCATGTGTATGTTTATGCATTATGCTTATATTCGCAAACGGAAATGGAAGCTGTTTGTTTCTTTCTTTCACAAGTAGAATCCAAGTACAAATGCCTTTCATTCCCTTGAATTTCAATTTAATGCTGTGAGAGATTGCTTTTGCCAAATGAAGTAGAATTATTTTGAGTAGACAACATTTTTTTGACTAAAAATCCATTGAAAGAAAAATAATTAATTGGTACACCGCCATTACGGACATGCATAAACCACACTAAGCTCATCGTCTCCGTTCAGATTTTGATAAGCCTTGTAAACTTTGTAGAATATTCAAAACAAAGTGACGTCTAATTTTTTTTCAGACTGGCGCATAAAAAACATCATTGTTGCAAAATCGTGTTTTCTGGGCCCTTCCGGAAAAATTCTAGACAAGTCTGAAAAAATTTTTTTCAAAGTCACACCGTAGAAAATATATAACCCACCCCCACATGCTCGCCTTCAGCTCGGATGTTAATCTTTTTCCAATATTTTAAATATTTTTCTATAGTGATTTTCAAGTTTTCTAATTTCGGAAGTCGTACCAATTCTCAGGTGGAAAAAATTCTCAAAACATTCCTCACAAGATTTATTCAATAATTTACAGCTCCTGTTGGTTTCCGCACTTCTTCCCGCATTTCGCGATTTTTTTTAATTTTCCAAATTTTGCTACGGCGTCATGATGGCGGATTAGTTTCGTCTTACGGGTACCCTTACGGTCATGCAAAATATTTCGAGATTGATTTCTTCTTTTTGTATTAGAAAACTCTGTAAGTTTCCCGAATCGGAAAAAAAGCATGACATTACCATAAATTTTCCAGAGCAAATAATAAAATTTATTGACCGTCTCTTATTTTTTCTCACGATTTCAGATAAAAATGACTGAAATCATTCTCCAGCCCACGATTACGTTCCTAGTCACGTACTTCTTCCTGTATTTTTTTCTCCGTGTATTTCCTTTGTTTCCTCTAAGGTGATTACGATTTTACTCTAATTCTGAAGTCAAAAAATATACTTGTGCTGTTTAGAGATTTAGAAGCTCAATTCAGAAATTCTGCAAGTCGTATCACGTAGGTATCCTTTTCCGAAACACGAGAGATGATCTTAATTGCATAAGGGAAATTCTTGTTTTGTTTGCAAACGTTTGAACGTATCCAATAATAGTGATCTAGCTTGACGAAGCGATTAGATTACTCAATGAGAATACCCCTTGAAAAACTGTACCTCTTTTTACTGCGGCAATCAAGTGGCATAGGCCGGTCAGTTTGTTCTAATCAGCGGTGAGCTGGAGAGTTAATTCAATCAGCTAACGAAGCGTTCGTTTCACTGACCAACACCAACGATGTAGTATTCATCTGAACGTTTTGCCAACGTTATCGCCACTATACTATCTGTCCATTCATGATCCCTTTTTTCAATAGTCTATACACTCGTGCAGTAATTGATTCGTATAAAAATAAACATGTAATAATAGTATCCATTGGTCACTATTGGCATGACAAGAAATACCCAACTCTATTTATGTTCACGTATGTAGTACCCGGCAAAGCATTTTTAGCAAAATAACTAAAATAATCACTTGTATTGATCGAACAATCATTACCTTAAATAATTAGGGAATTTTGTAGAGCCAGTTAAGTCTCTTGGTTAACACGTCACTGTGTTAGTGGACACCCTATGCAGGGGATTTCTAAATTACTCATAAATCTTGCGCTCAGTAATACACTTGAATCCCCTGAATACAGGAAAATTATTGAAAAATTATTAATTCAATAGTTTTCAATTTCTAATATCGGGGGTTGGGAACGTGTATTTTGCTGCGCCAGAGTGGATGGAGCAGTGAAGGCGACAATAGCACGTCGAATTATGAACAGTGTTTAGTGACGTGATAGAAACTTATTATAATTTTTCATTCAACAAAAAGGCAGGTACGATTTTTTTTAAACCTCAGGAATGAAAATGAAATTCAATGTTTTGTAACTCACCGCACTGATGATATTAAGTGTCGACTTTTTTTTCTTCATTATCGTTCTCCTCCTGGAAGATGATGTCAATGTGGGGACAATTATTGAAGCTCTAAGCTAATCTTAACGTGGCACCGTCTACACGTTTTCAAGTACGTCGAAAACAAACTCGACCCAACCGAATATTTCAGATAAACCATTAAAAAATTCAATTAACGCAAGTTTTTGATGTGTTAGTGGAAATACTGTGTAGGAAAATTCATTTATTTCATTGATATTGTTCAAAGATTTCTTTCTTGATAAATTGGTAATTTACAACCGCTTGGATTGTTTTTCTTTTGACTCACCAGCCAGATTTTTCATTTCTTTCCTGTTCGAATCAGCTGTACAATTAAAAATTATAAGGAAGATAGATCTATCAAAAATAACTGTTCCAATTTCTGTGAGGATTTTATTGATTATTACCACGAATTAACAAATTCTTCAATTCGTCCTGGAATTTATTTGAAATTTTTTGGATGGTTATTCATTGTCCTGTTTCCATCAATTAGTGGATTTGGCCTCCTTGGCAGTCTGTAAACTCTGAGTAATATACAACTTTGCAAGACTCTGAGCACAAAATTGCGAGATGTGCTGGCTATAGGTGCTGATCTGTCCAGCAACAATCATAGGATTAAGCCTGGGTGGAACGGGGAGTGGTCTCAGAAGCTTATTGATATCATCATCAGGTAATGGAGGTTCATCCTTTGCAGCCCTGGCAGCATTTTCTTGAGCTCTCTTCTGAAGAAGACGGTTTTTATCTTGTTGTTGACGAATAACAAGATGCTGATATCTATTAAATTTAATGGCTTCTTGATTGAGTTCATCAACACGATCCATCATGCATCTCAACTGGCCTTCAAGAACTGATGCAGTTCCCAGATCTAGATACTTGGTCCCCTGCTCTTCCGGAATCATTTCTTCTAATTCAGAGATCATGATATTCGTCAAATTACTGTTCCTGATAATGATAGGAATCTCAATGAAGAGATTTTCGTAGCCAATCTTAAGGGTCCGGAGAGCTTCAGGTGTAAATTCACCCTCTTTGTACATCTGAATAGCCTGTGGTGTCAGACGGTAGGCCTTAATGGTTAGAAAACCTCTGCCAGACTTAGCTGTGTCATAAATTACAACCACAGATTCCTCAATCGACGTCTGATAATGGTATTGAGACTCTAGAAGACTGACGCTCAAGAAATTACCCACGTCTGCACTTTGGTACCAACCAACATGAAAATGATCGACGTTTACCCTGAAATATATATTGGATAATATTGATATCTGGGACTGCATTAATGGGTACAACATAACTATGTGAAAGATCAAATTTCGAAAATAGAAAATCGTTTCTTGACTGTTCTACGATTTTTTCAACGTTCTATCTGGGTTTTATGTAATGTTTATTTTATGCTGACCATTAAGATGGAATATTTTTTAAAATAATATCTCAATTTCGAAATTACAGACACATTCTCATTGGCATTGGAATTTCATGAGGATTTTTGAGAACGGTTGCCCATTGCTTCAGTTGTCAAAATTTGCAAATGTTTGAAGGCCAAAAAGTTCGACATTAAATATCTTCTAGAAAGTTTATTATTGTGAAAAAATTAAATATTACGCTCCTCTGTTCTCTAATTATCTATGTAAGTTTCAGTAAGATATATACACCGATTTACCTTCGGAGACGACGCATCACTGCCAGCTGATATTCTTCCTCTTCCATGATCTCATCGTTCTTCGGGAACGGAAAACAGTTAGTAATCTCCAGACGATTTTGAACGACAAGCCCAAGAAGAGCACCCTGGGCTACTTCCATATTACTTGTAGACTCCTCATGGCAATGTTTGATAATCTTCATAGCGGCCAATCCATCACATTGGACATAGTCTATCCTGGACTCTAGCTCAGTGATTCTCCTCATCGGATTCCTGGACGACATAATTGGCTCTCCTTTTTACACCTTTTTCCAAATAATCAAATGTATTCTGATTTCACTATTCTTACTGCAATTAAAACAGCGAAATGCAAACGAGCAAATGCAGTCAGTTGCATGTATTGAATGAGGTTAGGGAAAGAACTTGGCAAGATTAGCACCGAGGAAAAGAGACTTATGTAGAGACTCTGCGTCGGGGTTCTGAAACCTGGAATTACGATAGTATTATTCCGTGGGAGTGATGGCGCCACGTGATATTGTCGACAGTAAGGTGCGACTTGATGTTGCCGACGGTCGTCACCAAAGACGATTGCCTAAAGTGTGAATTTTGGTTTATGTGTTACGAAATTGGTATTCACTGAAATTGAAAAATGAAAAATTTTCAGAAAAGTATTAGGGGAGCATGAAAATGGAGGAGGTATTCACTGAAATGTAAAAATTCGAAATTTATGAAAAAGTATCAGGGGAACATGAAAGTCGAGGAGGTATTGACTGAAATTTGAAAATTCGAAATTTTTGAAAAAATATCAGGAGAGCATGACAATTGAGGAGGTATTCAGTGAAATCGAAAAATTCAAAATTTTTGAAAAAGTATCAGGAGAGCATGAAAATCGAGGAGGTATTCACTGAAATTAGAAAATTAAAAATTTTCAAAAAAGTATCAGGGGAGCATGAAAGTGGAGACGGTATTCACTGAAAATTGAAAATTCGAAATGTTTCAAAAAGTATCAGGAGAGCATGAAAAGCGAGGAGGTATTCACTGAAATTGAAAAATTAAAAATTTTCAACGAAGTAACAGGAGAGCATGAAAAACGAGAAGGTATTCACTGAAATTGAAAAATTTTTAATTTTCCGAAAATAAAATTAACCGGGTCGATTGGTCCCTCTGACAGCGGGACTGCTACTGAGGCAGTTACCGAGTCGACTGACGGGCAGACACCCCACCATTGGGTGCGGCCCCCTCTTACTCTTGGGGTGACCAACGACAATGCCGGTGGGGTCACTCAAATCCCCACTGTGCGGCTCAGTTCTGCGCGAACACCTCACCCCAAGAGAAAGAGGGGGCCGCACCCAATGGTGGGGTGTCTGCCCGTCAGCCGGCTCGGTAACTGCCTCAGTAGCAGTCCCGTTGTCAGAGGGACCACTCGACCTGGTGAGTTTTATTTTCTGAAAATTAAAAATTTTTCAATTTCAGTGAATACCTTCTCGTTTTTCATGCTCCTCTGTTACTTTTTTGAAAATTTTTAATTTTTCAATTTCAGTGAATCCCTCCTTGATTTTCATGCTCCCCTGATACTTTTTGAAACATTTCGAATTTTCAATTTTCAGTGAATACCGTCTCCACTTTCATGCTCCCCTGATACTTTTTTGAAAATTTTTAATTTTCCAATTTCAGTAAATACCTCCTCGTTTTTCATGCTCCCCTGTTACTTTTTTGAAAATTTTTAATTGTTCAA